TTTGTCTGGAAGACATTTTTGGTGGCTTGTCCTACCCGAATTCAGATTGAGTCTCTGATATACAGAAGATATCCATTTCTAGTGAGTCGATTGTATGTGCAAGATTAGATTGTTGACAAGGTATTGAAAATCGGTTCGTGTAGCTCGACCAATCTGTACGAAAGTTTTCACGTCGAAGGCTCCCAGAGTTAGGAGTCGACGAAGCACCAGAACCCGCGATTTATTTTGTGGTACATCACCAATGACGCTGCTTGGTAACGAGCTTAGGCGAACGATGTCCAAGTTGTCGGAGGGTTGTGTCAGAAGGAGAAAAGCGGAAGGGTTGGAGAACAAAATAACGCACCAAATAGGTTGGGAAAACCTGACCGTTCTGAAAAGACTGCTTAAAACGACGAGATCAGAACCAACTGAGTTTACGGATCGACATTCAAATCCTACTAACACCGTTCAACTTTGCTATTACGTCAGTTAGCTGCTGCGTTACACGATTCACATGATTCCTTGAGACTGTTAGGTTTATCTAAGGGGCTAGCAGCGAATCCAAATGTCCATTAGAGGAAAAACTTACGGCGGCTTGATCAAGTTCATTTTTCATGAAGTACAGGCAACCAATATTGTTGAGAATTTCCGGAGCCATGTCAAGCTGGATATTTTCTAAAATAGCCAGTGCTTTCAGATAAGCATCTAGAGCTCCGGACACATCATTCTCCAGCAACTGTGCATACTCGATCCAGGCTTCCACATCTTCTGGTTGACTTTCTGTTACCTGTCACGATTTAGGGGAAAGTAGAAAGAAAGTTGAAGCAAAGCGATTAGAGGCCAAAGACATTCAGCGGATGTTTTCGAGAAAAATACCCTATGGTGAAAGAATAACATGACGGATCATATATAATTATTATATTGGGATGCAGGGGGAAAGAAGCCACCAACCAATGCACACACAATTAGTGAGGGAGTCAATGACTTGGGTTTTTAAAGGCCAGTTACGCTGACCTCTGTTATGGCAGAGTCATTGAGTTTGTATAGTTTCTAACGAAAGCCAGGGTTATAGCACTTTATTCTGAGCATATATCAAAACCAGTGGTGGTTGACATTTTTCCGATTTTTTCGTGTTATACATTTTTAGTTGTCTCGTTTAGCAAGCATATGTAAAGATGGATGGAAAGTACGCTCAATGAACCAGCAGTTCTGTGGGGAGATTTATCTCGTTGCACAATCGCAAGGCTTCGCGAAGTTGCAGGACTGCCCTCCTTGTGCAGTTGATAAGAAGTTTGATTTTGTCTCATACTTGGGTGGATGGTAGATCTCGGATACTTGAAGTGGTGCACCTGTTCTGATGTTTTCCTGTTGACGTGGATTGACCGTGACGGGTTTTGGGACTTTGTGTCTATCTCCAGACTGTTGGCCTCGACTTCCCATTAGCTACTGTTATGTATCGGTTGTTGAATGTTAGGATCCTCTTCTAAAATGACGATGTTGTCAGTGAACTCCAGATTTGCGATCCAAGTCTCGTGACAGGATACAATTTCGGTGAACATCGGAAAAAGTGAAAATTTCATCGACTGCTGCCCACAGGCACGGAGGGGAGCCGCGTTACACAGTAATATGTACTTCTTGGGCACTCAGTTGGTAAGTAATACGCTCAATAGTGGCTATAAATTGACGGAGAAAAATGCAGTGCGAAAAACAATAAGGCAAACGAAGGTTGGTTGTTGTAATTTATGGAGATTTTCTATGATTCGCCATAAAGATCTGATCGACACAACCTCTCTCTCGGCGAAAATCATAGTTGATTCGACTTCTTGTTCAGTAACAAAGTTGGTACGCAGAATAGTTGCGAAAACCTTGACCATTAATATTTCTGTAGTTCGCGTGGATGGTTTTGTCTTTTGATACAAAAAGTAGAATGAAGTGACTAGTTAATGGGGAAAACTTCGGCACATCGGATGCGAGGGAATAGAGTGATCAGTGGGTCCAGTGGAATTGCAGGACGTGCTTTATAGATTCCGGATGGGGTTCTGTCTTCCCTTTG